GACTCTGAGGCAAACCGGGTGCAGCGCTGCACAGTCTCATTGTACTTGGCCTCGGATAGCAAGCTGCCGGTGCTTTCCAGCTCAGTTCTCAGAGCGCCGAGAGTCACCTCCAACACACCGATCAAATACTGAATGACAGCACTTGGATCCACCAAAGCTGTCGTCTGCGCCGATGGCGGGGCCCCGTTTGAGACCTCCGCACTGGCAACCTCCATATCTGTAACGCCTTATGTACAACGATGCGCGAATGTCATAGAGGTTGTAGGATGGGTTTCGTTCTTGCTGTTAGATTCGGGAGAAAGAGGAGCCGGGGGGGGGGAGCAGCGGGAGAAGATGCGGATTTGTTGACACCAGAAAGTCGCGGTATCGGTTCGGGTGCGCGGGATCAAACCAAGCTCTAGGTATAACTAGTCGGAACTTGGAAGACCACGGCAGAAAAGAGAGCAATCGAATGAATGAAGCGAGCTGAAAGTGAGGAAATGAAATGAGAAGCTGTATGTTCAGGGGTTCATAAAAGGGCTTTGTAGGTAGTATGATAACACCAAAGATCTTCCGATCGGGCTTTCAGTTTAGTTGTGGTTCCAGGCACTTTTTTTCCCAACCAGCGGACGCGGGTTGGAGAACAACAGACCGTTCAGTCAGTCAGTCAGGGGGCATGCCTGCCACCTTCCCTGTTTAAGACTAGCCGCTCCGTGCCCCAGCTCTTGCCTACCACGGATCTGCACGCCCAGTCTAGACTACCTACGGAGTACGGAGTACACCACCACATCAACTATCCATTGAACATTTTGTCGACTGATTTGACTTCATAAAGCACATCATCTCTCATATCGCTGTTCCAATTTCCTGGTCCGCCGCATCACACACCTCCCGACAATCACAGTTATATTTCTCGCGGAACTCCAACCGCGTCATTCCCTCCAGAGCCGCCAATGCCCTCTCGCTAGCCTTGACTTTGGCGTAGCGACTAGACGACGACATACCCTCGGCAATGACCACATCATGCACAAAGACTGCTGCCAGCACACTTGCTTGAGTCCCGTCGGCGCCGGGCAGCTCTCCAGCTTTCAGGCAGTAGTTCAAGCAACCATACTCATTTCCCAGTCGGTTGTGGAGGAACGTCTAGCCGAGGTCAGTCATCACCTCAAATTAACAAGTAAGGAAGTGGCTCCTACGGTTGGATGCTTCTTAGCAAATGTGTCGTAGATGGCCATGTCCTCGAAATAGGGCTGGACAAAGCGACGGAAGAAGTCTTCAACCACCTCGAAGTCAAAGCTCGAGTCAACGAAGATGGCTCCCAAGTAGGCCTCGACCATATCCGGTAAGCACTAGACAGTCAAATTAGCCTGGTTCGGTACATCTGGATTAGACATCTCTCTACCTTCGGAGGATCGTTAGCATCAACCCAGTAATCTACTGCACCTTTGCTATCACTCTCCGCAATCTGAATTGCTTGCGCATAAAGAGTGATTTGTGACTGTAAAGGGTTGCTAAAATGTTTCAAGTGCGTGTGAAGGCCCAGCTTAACCGCTAAGGCACCGAGGTACTTGTTGGACACCATCGCCATCTGTAGCTCAATTGTCAATAACATTCTTGCAATTTTCAAGGTGGTCCCACCTTATGCTCGGTGAGCCACTGAGGATCTCGATCTGGGAAACGGTGGAATATATTCTCGACACAGACCATGTCAAGCAAAGCGTCTCCAAGAAACTCCAGTCGCTGGTAGCAGGGAACCTTAGCCCAAGCGGAGGGCAGGGAAGGGTGCGTGAACGCGGATCGCAAGAGCCGGGGATACTTGAAACTGTAACCGAGCTTCTCCTCGACCTGTCGGGCCAAATCAAGCTCGAAACCATCAGGGGTCTGGACTTGATATCTAGGCATGCTGTATAGACTCTGGTAGTCCCTCCAGGAGGTAACTTTGTGGCTCGCATCGTCTACTAGAGCAGTCACTGCTTTTACTGCCATGTCAAATCGATGCTGGGGTCCCCCGGTGAGCAGAGATGCTCCGATCAACGCCTCACAGACATCGGCGATGGTCTTCTCTCCGAGTGCATGTTTACTTTCCGAGCTCATCTGCTTGCTGTGGTCCTTTCCCCGCAAGAGGCTCAAGCCATCAGGATACCATGTGTGTCTTTAGTAGTTGTTAGTGAATTATGTCCAGCTAATATGTCTAGGGGCTTCATACCGAGAGAAACCTTGAGTCCTAATATACTTGTAGAGTTCCTTCTGTACCGCAGTGTTGAATAGGTTCCTGTTACAGACAAGACACATTCGGCTGACATGGTAGTCGAATTCGTCATCGTCTGGGTTTTGTGAGAAAAGAGCAATAGAGGTAGCCATCTTGAGAAAGCAGTCCCCAAGAAACTCGAGGCGCTCGTAGTTCTTCCCCATACCCCTTTGTACGTGAAGTTGCTGGGCTCGATGCTCCTCTGTGTTATCAGAATCCTTGGTTAAAGCCTCGAGCGCAAACTTAAGTTTGATCGTAAGATCTAACCCGGCGCAAGCTTCCAGGGTTATCAGATACGAGTTCATCCTGGATATAATGGCAGGAAAAGCCAGACATGAGGCTGCTACAGAAGCAGGAATCTTGTTATGGTCAGTTCGGAGAGCAGCTGACAATGGGGCAATATAAGTCACGAACAGCGGAGATCTTTAGTGGCTCTACGCAAATATAACACCTCGTTTCGACGTCTCTTTCTGCATCCGTCATTTTATCCAACAGGTTTCTGCGAAGGCGAACTAACTCCGCTTTCAAGACAGGCTGGTTCCAATCGCAACCCGAGAGGAATTTGGCACGCGAGTTCTTCGAAAGACTAGTGCTGTAATTCATGATATCGCTCATGTACCTGCGCCGTGCCACGAAAGGAGGTGGGGGGTCTGAGGGGTGTAGAGTTTTCTCAACCGCAAGAGTGAAGTATCTGCATGCTCCGTTCCAGTTATCGAAGACCAGGCGATCGTGCAGATAAGTTGGATTTGCATTGCTTGGGACCGGCAAAGTCTCGTTCTTATACACGTGGATCAGTGTCTTCCAATCAACCAAGTCCCTGGGGCTGGTGTCTCGATCTGGAATTACTTGTAAATGTGTCGGTCCTAGCCAATATGTCATCCTCTCGGGTTGGTAGCCATAGGTCTTGTGGAAGATATCACCGAACACTCGAAGGAAGAATGTCGTAAAATGTTGCAGCTCCATCTTGGAGATTGTGAGCTGTTCTTCCAAAGGAACTAGATGCACAATCGTCTCTATATCCTCATCTAGATAGATGGGAAATGCTGGAAACTCGGGAAGGGGGTTCCTAGTTAGCAACAAGAGACTTGCATGTTGTCTTGTTAGCGGACCGGAAGGTTCCAACAGGATTACAGTGATGTAAAGACTACTTGGATGCTCGCCTCTTTTGTCTTCCCAGAATGACGGTTTAACTATCATGTCGTACTGGCTAGTCTGCTTGGAGGTTATGGCAAGCTTGGCATTCCTCATCGCAGGCAAGCGACAGTGGAACATTGACTTGAAGTGATTGTCGAGCAACCCAGCTTTGCGTAGCCGTATGCAGGTATCAAATGCTGCAGACTGCATTGCTCTCGATTTTCTGATTTCCGGGCTCCCGGTGAGCCCTACCACTGGCGACTTCTCAGGCAGAATAACCTCGCAAACAAAAGCATTGTTGACAGGAAGTACCACATAGTGCACTTTCGCGTCTTGCTCTTTCTCATATTGCTTGAATGGTTGCTACGTCAGCACAATGACAGTCTATCACATGGATCACATTTACCAGAGAGCTAGCATAGCGAGCGAGTATGGCAATGGCGGAGTGATAGGTCAACTTGGCACCAGATGCTTGGATGGTGTAAGACCGCTTGCCGGCTTCTTTCTCCAAAACCTTTTCTAGGTCATCGTTTCCATGCAACAATCTGTTCTCAGGCAGAGCTTCGCAGAATTGTTGCATTATGCTCTGTATCAGATTAGCCAGGCTTTTGTAAGCACAATGTAAACCTACCTCGGCATCTCGAACCTCCGACAGTCGGCCCTGGTGCTGCGGATTGTAGTTTTCGACCATAATGGCATACTGCAAATAACATAAGCGTTGGCCTCGGCGGATGGGGAGTCATCTCTCATACCGTTGACCTGTAGTGTCGGGCACGACCACGGCTCTGCACGTACTGAATGAGTGTCTGATAAAGATCGAACCTATGCTATAAGTCAGACCCTCTCGATGATGGATGAGTAGTTTTGAGTACCTAACAACGAGATTGCAATCCGGAATATCGAGACCTTCTTCAGCTACCGAGGTAGCGAACTTATCTAGTCAGCATTATTGTTTTTGTAGGCAGGATCATCACATACCAGGCAGTTGATTTCTCCTTCTCTGAACTTGATCAAGGTAAGGAATTGCTGACGAAAGGTTATGCCCATTCCTGCAACGTCACCCGATCGAACTCCAATAAGCACACCAGGTCGAAGGAAAGGGATACATAAGTTGTTGAAAAGCTCAAACAGCATCAACGCAGTGTAGCGTTTCTCTGTGAAGACAATGCACTTTGTCTGATCTGGATGCAGAAAGCGCTTCTGCAGCTCTGCACGTAGCAGCTGCACCTTAGAGCTTAGCGCTCCTGGACCGAGAGGGCTAGTGAGCTCATGTCTTTTGACAAGGTCGCTGGCCTCTCTGATTCGCAAGATTTGTGTATGTGTATCCTGGGACACTGTGAGTGAACTATTAGACTCAACCGACTTGTTGATCTTCCCCTCGAGTCTGGGCAGAACGTCATCTGCTAAAGCACGTAGCCATGCTCTATCCGAGCACCAACTACCTAGTTCAGAGGTTGCCTGCCAGGCAAACTTGAAGATGCCCTCGAGACACTCGAGGTCACCAAAGCGTTGCTTGAGATTTTTGTACAGTTTTGTCGCTACTGGGGGCTCCAATCTCGTGTATTCCCACGTTTCTTCGACTGGACGACTGACATATTGGCGCAGTAAGGTAGCCTGGGATGTTGTGGCAATAGTGCTGTCAAGCAATGTTTCGAGTCTCCTATGAGACGTTAGCAAGTGCATCTGAGAAAAAGAGGAAAGCTTGTTCATACATCGCAGCATCGACCACATCACCTTTGGTGTCCACTGGCGAAGCCGTCATCCCAAATACCCTTGGCCGTTTTGAAGGAACCTCTTTAAGGTATGTGTCACGAATAATCCTAAGCCCAGTTAGACAATGTACTCAAGTTTCGTCATACAATGCACCCACCGTGCATACGGATGATCTTTCTTGGTATGATGAGCTTCATCGAAGATCAAGAGATTGATCTGATCCATCCTGATGTAAGAATTGAGCAGGCACTGATGCAGGATCTCAGCCGTGCAGACAATGACCATGTTTGTCTTGAAATGTTCATCCCAGATCTCCTTGTTCCATAGATCAGTTCCCATGGCGCCGAAGAACTGACCAACGCTCTGATCAAGGTTGTGACGCAGCACTGCCGCTTGCTGAAACGCGAGAGTAACGCTATCAACCTGTAGACGTGTAAGCTTTCTCATATAACCATGGAGAGGTATACGCACCAAGAAAAAAGATATGCGATGCGGCTTGTCTTGAGCACGATCATTTAGCTCGTTCTGCAGTGTATGCCTCAGCAGCAGCACTGCGATCAAAGTCTTTCCCGAGCCTATAACACACATAGATCAGATATGCCAGACTTGATGAGTAGATGTCAATCTATACCAGTTTCGAGCACGGCAATCGTATTCTGTGCTTTGGCCCTTTCGAATAATTCCACCTGGTAGTCTCTTGGGTCCAAGGTACCAGTAGCAAGATCATGCTTGACTATCAAGTGAGCGGTCGAAAGCTGAGCATCCGGCAGATCAGGAGCCACCCTTTTGTTGGTGGCGACTGGATCGGTGACAGCGCGCTTGGACAAGCTATGTGAGTGTCAGTTACATCCAGAAATGAAGGGTAAGTGATGGAATGAACTAACAGGACGTTGAACTTGGCATTTTGGAGTCTCCGTCGTTGCGAGGCATCCATTGGGTTGATGCTTTCTTCTTCTTCATCCGAGTCAGACGAGCTGGAAGCGTTCTCGACGTCCTCTGAGGAGATTTCAACTCCACTGCTTTCGTTGGTGGTGCTTGGGGTGCGATTCTTACTGTTGGAGGCAGGGATGCCCAGAAATTCGGCGTTGGGGTTTTCGACGTTTGGCCTGGCCATTTTCATGCTTTGGTCTCGACTCGGAGCAGAATGACTGTGGCGGAGAGAGGGAAGTTGTTCATGTCAGAGATGCAGAAAGAGGTAAAGTGAGTATTCAATGAAATGGTCAAGTCTTGCAGTGGGTTGAACCTCACATCAACAGCTGTTGCCAGTGTTACCGTGTCGTGCAGTGAATACAAACCATACAACAAACGGGCAGTCTATTTGTAGTGGGTGAATGTCTCACACCCCGGCTTGAGACTTGTCTTCGAAAAGATACATGGGCGTTACAAAACTTCAAAATGATCTTCGCCAAAGGCATCTGCTCGTTACAACAGACGTTGCAAGTATCTAGCCTTCGCAACTAAGCCAATAACATAGACAGGACTAGACCGGAGCAATAAGTTTAGTGTTGAATATATATACTTCCCAGCAGCCGGGATGGAGCGCAGGGATCCACCCCTAAATTGATAGATGCGGGGCTTGCCGCGGGGCGGGCCCAGGAATTATTTCTTCGAGGCCATCCTCCGTATTCAGCTTCAACTCCCTCCAGCAAATCTCCCAGCACCACCCTCCGCAAGACGCAAAATCACATCCAATGGAACAACCCCAGAACCTACGCACCCTGTTCACCGAGGCGAAAGCCGAAAAGTCCGCGCTGGAAGGGCGGTTCGACAGCAACACGGATGCTTATCGCAGTGATGTCAACGCAGTCATAGCCAAGCTTGAGGAATGCCAACGATTAGTGAGCTTGCTGTCGCTGTTTAGCTCCAACGAAGCTCTCGAGGATATCTCCACCGGAGATCTACAGTACTGGCCCCCATCCCTTAGACACTTGATCTGAGCTTGTCTTTTGTTCACACTCCCCTCTCTCTCACTGCAGATACCTGACCGTCGAATACCTGCTCGCCGACCTCCTCCAAAGAACCTACACATCGGACCGCGAAGCCTCCCTCCGCCGTGCACTGAGCCAATACGAGAAGTTCCTCTCCCGGCTGGAAGAATACGACATTCTCAGCGCCAGCGACAAGAAGCTCTACGAGCGGTACGCGGCCAACCCGTCCACCTTCTCCCTCACCCTCACCAACGATGCGGCGGTGCGGCGCGAGGTGAAGATCACCCGATTCCGGGAGGAGAAGGAATTGAAGCAGAAACTCGAGGTTAGACAGCACCACCACCACTACCAAATATTCTTGACATGAACGAGACCGCCCCGCTTACTCAATGTGACCCCCCAAAAACAGTACTTGTCCAAGAACAAAGACCGCCTGCAGAGCGACGAGGACGATGTGCGCGCCTTGTACCTGGCGGAGCTGGCGCTCTACGCCCACCAGACGTTCCAGTCGCTCGACCTCCTGTCGCAGGAGTTGTCTATGTTGGCCACGATGCGCACGGCACCCCCCAACCCCACCGAGCTGTCGCAGGATGACCCCCGGAGACGCAATGGGGACGCCGAATCGGGCTACTCCGAGCGACTGGATCGCCCGATCGCCGAGCTCTTGAGAGGAGGAAGGCTCGGGCCGATATTGAGCAAGGAGGGACGGCCGATGCAGCCCTTTACACTGCTGGATCGCCGCACCCAGCTGCAGCAGGGCGTGTTCCGCTCCGGGCACAACCTGCCAACTATGACAATTGATGAATACCTCGAAGAGGAGCGAAGGCGGGGCAACGTTATCGAAGGGGGAGGCGAGGCGTCCGGGATCAAACCAGAGGTCGACGAAGACGACCACGATATCGCCGACGGGGAGACTATGAAGGCCCGGGCCTGGGATGAGTTCAAGGAAGCGAACCCTCGAGGCTCGGGAAACACTCTGAATAGAGGATGATTGTCATGAATGCTACATAGATACTGATGATTTGGTTTCTTGGTCCGAGTCTTGCCATGAGACTAGCACACATAATGAATGCATATATTTTCTTGCTAGATCTGCCATCGACGCAGATATATGCCTTATGAATTGCGTTGTTATATCATAATCTATCTAAACCTGCAACGTGCCGTTTCCTTGTATGGGTATCCGTCTTTTTCATATCCTTCATGCCTTCCGTGAAGGAGAGGACCAGCATCTCCACCACAACATCGTTGTACTATACAAGACATCATTGCGAGGCCTGCTTGTTCCGCTGGATCTCTTCGAGGATCTTTCCAGCGCCCTTGGCCACCAGAGCATTGGCGACCGTGATCCCGAACTCCTCAGCAGCCTGAGGGGTATCCACGGACCCATCCACTTCCACCTCGGAGCTCTCACTGCCATCCACGCTAACGACAACCGACCGCATCCTCAACTTGGACGAGCCATCGGCATCACGAACCCACTCCGACTCGACACCCAGGGGGGCACTGCAGCCACCCTCCAGGGTGCGCAGCAGGCTGCGCTCCGCCAAACAGGCCAGAGTCGTCTCCTGGTGACCGATGCCCGACAACATGTCGAGCACAAGCCGATCGTCCTTGCGGACCTCGATCCCCAGCGCCCCCTGCCCGACGGCGTAGAGCATGCCGGCGTTCTGGGAGTCCAGATAGGCGGTGATGCGATCCTGCAGGTCCAGACGGAGCAGCCCGGCGGCCGCCAGGATCAGACAGGCGTACGGGCTGTCCTCCGCGTCCAGCTTCGACAGACGAGTGCCGATGTTTCCGCGAACATCCGTGACCTTGAGATGGGGGTACCGCCGCGCCAACTGGGCCGTCCGGCGGATGGAGGAGGTGCCCACCACCGAGCCCGCCGGCAGGTCGGCCAGGCTCTTGTACGGCAATCCCTGCTTGACGACCAAGACGTCGCGCGTATCTTCCCGATCCATCATCGGGCCCAGCGTGCATGAGGGCGGCAGCAAAGTGGGGACATCTACGTTGCAACAACAATAAGTCTGTCAGCCCAAAAATTCCCGGAGCCTTTTCTTGTTCTTCCGTTGGGCGCCACGCCACACCACTTACCCTTGAGCGAATGAACAATGAGGTCCACATGACCGGCCATCAACAGCTCCTCCAACTCCTGAGTCCACAGATTCTTGGTGGTGAAGTCCCGCAGCGCGATGGTGGTGTTCTGGTCGCCGGCGGTTTCACGCGAGTGGATCTTGAATTCATATTCGGGCCATTTGGCCTTGAGGGCGGCCTGGACCAAATCGGTTTGGAGCAGAGCGAGCTTGGACTTGCGCGTTCCAATGGTGAAGACCTTGCGGGAGGAGGGATCAGCGGCGTTTGCGCTGGCGAGCGGGGTAGAGGCCATTCCGACTGTGGTTGGGGGGGAAAATAAGAGCAGGGAAGAGGAGATTAGAAGCGGGTGGGTGAAAGAGGAGGATAGAACGGGAATGCGCTCCGAAAGGACAAACAAACAGATGGGTCAATTAAGGATTGAAGGGGGGGGGGGGGGTGTGTCAGAGGTAGTGGCAATAGAAAGTGTGCTGTCAAGTAACTTAATGGTTAAAGTTGGATCTCCGGCTCGAGCACATTTTCCTCCGGGTATTTTTTGCGGGTTCTGTTTTGTCATACGACCCGGCTGGACTGTCTGGTCCGGGGCAAAGATAGTGGGATATTGTAATCTTACAGCGGTAATCTTACAACTGGGGCCCTTTTTGCCTCTTCGCGATAGAGAGCATCACGATAAGCGATTCTACTGTTCAATACACGTCATGGTGAGTGTGGACTAGTATCCTCAGTAGTACTCATAATTGCGACCATCTTGATCGACAATGTACTCTTATCAGATCGAACCCAAAGGGGATAGAAGCTGGTGGAAGAGCAAGGAGCAAGTGAGACAAGAGGAGAATCCCCCAGGTTTTGGGGGGTTATTTAACTCAGGGTTGGTCGTCTGACGGCTGCGAACCTCGGCATGATCGGGAGGGAGTGCGCTTATCTTTCGATCTTCTCCTCCTCTCCGCCTCACCCCCAACCCCAGACGGGAGTGTCGCGCTTGTCTGCCTTCTTCCATCCATCCATCCATCCATCCATCTACCCTTGAGCTTCTAATCACTTTCTCTCCTCACGTTTCTCAACTTTTCCCCTTAAACTATCCATCAATCTATTCTATCTCACATTTTCCCACTTCCTCATCCTCTCTCTCTCTCTCTCTCTTAATCTTGGCTCAGCTGAAACGACCACACCCTACCTCTCTTATTGTCATTCCTCTCTCAGCTTCATTCATTGTACCCTTTGCGACCACGTTTGAATTGATCTGGCATCCGTCATCCCGCCATGGGTTCCCACAGCGGCCGAACCACCAAGCTTGCCTTGGTGCCGCTCCCCAAAGGCTCTGTCTTACTTCCCGGAGTGACCCTCCGGATTCCGGTCTCCAACCGACCCGATATCGCTAATCTCCTGACCACCGTGTTGGACCGTTCCCCCGCAGCGAAACGCGATGGGAGTATCGTCACCTTCGGATGCATCCCTCTCAGCTCCCCGTATCTCAGCAAAGATGGCCAGCGGGTCATCGATGATGGGACCCTGGAGGAGGACAAGCGGGAGGAGTACGAGATGATTGATGCGGGACAAGCGCGCAAGGAGGACCTCTTCCGGTATGGCACCGTGGGCAAGGTGATCGGCATCCAACGCCGTGCCTACGCAGAACCATCCCTCCTTGTCCAGGGGATTCAGCGTTTCACCCTCAAACGAGTCCTCAAGGAACGGCCGTTCTTTGAGGCCGAAACCATCATCCATGACGATAAAGGTTTGTGTCCATTGCATTATTCTTCTCTGTTGATGCCATATGACGTCTTTGACTAATCATCCGCATCTGAAACTGCAGTCATCAACGATACTGAGACGGTCGACCTGTTCCAACAGCTAAGACAGCTTTCGAAGGAGCTATTGACTCTTCTGCGACTGTCCTCACTTCTGCCCTCGGCGGGAACCCGCCTATCGCCCATCATCGCTCGTAAATTCGAGATCTTCATCACCAAGTCTGATATCTCCCACGCAGGTAGACTGGCCGACTTCATGGCCGATGTTGCGGACTCGGGTTTTGAGGAGAAGCTCCGCATTCTGGCCTCGTTCGATGTCCGAGCCAGGCTAGAAGGCGCCATCGAGATTC